GCTTGGATTGGATAAGATATATACCGACTAACATCAGCAAGGAGAAATAAACTTCGTGTAGACCTGGGAGACTGGTCAGGAAACAAAGCATATGCTGAATATGATTATTTTCTGTAAAGAATGAAAGTAAAAAATATCAACTAAGTCTTGGTAGATATTCTGGTAAGTTAATACGTAAATATAAACGTTTGAGGGAAAAATATTTCGATATATGCAATATTTTTGAATGATTTGAGTGATTACAGTTTGCAACGGGGGATTCTCCAAGTTTTGAAAAAAACGGATAGTAACGGTTGGTTTCGAACTAAAGCCTTGTTTGTCAATAAAAATATAATTAATTTTGAACTTAAAAACTTACCGAAAAAATACAACAATTAAACGTTAAGTAAAAAGTCGTTCCAATTTCGAACGATTCTGTCGCAAAGATTGATTGTGACATGTAATAATTGTGATTAACTTATCATCAACATTAAATGCAAATTCAACTGCAGCTTTGTAAATTACGTAACGATAACCTAGCACATGAGCGACATGTAGGTAATAAACACGACTAAATTATTTGGTACATAAGAAAAAATCTATACTGTGAATACCATTGTCTAATGATCAGTGACTGAAATCTTTTTTATAAAATGCAAGCATTGAAGTAAGCCCTAGTAAATAATTGCAAATGCAAGTTTCAATGCCTAAATGTTATATACATTATAACTTGTTCTTACATGTAAAAGTTTTTTATGAACTTAGCAACAACCTAAACATAACAGAAATTTATTTAAGTTTACATGGACAATTCTTATTTATAAGCATGAAACACAAATATAACAATTGAGCCTCGGAAAATACCCATGTACGCCATTAAGTAAGGTCTGTTTCATACGTCAAACTTTACGTACACCGAACAGAGCCCTCTATTTGTAAGAGTTGGGACATGTATTTTCTCTGGTTTGCGAACGTTGACTGGACAATATCGATCACATGATTAATTTCCGCCATTTTCGTTGCTAATTTTGAAATTTCACCTAGTGTTTATATGGCGATTATTATAAGTTTGTTTGTATTTTGAGAAAATATTTTGATTTTTTGGAGGTATGGTTACAATAATTGATTATTTGATAGCTAAAACATGTAACTGCATATCACCAGAATCATGGATCGAGAAAAAAGAAAGAAATGGCTTTACGATAGATTGGATTGCGCGTAGTGGCCATTGTGTCTGATCTTTATCTAAAGGTTTATTTACGAAGATTGTTTTCGAGTGAAAAATCATTGGAAATATTTCTCCTAATGCTAACGATTCAATAGTTTTCTTACATACAAAGCCTGTTCTTTATAGAGAGATTATGACTTATCATTATGTTCGGAAATTACTTTAATTTACAAGTTCTTAACCACTTCAACAGATAATTATTGCTAATCCAATATGCTAAAATAATATACTTTCGAATATTGTATTTTGCATCTTTAGGAAATCCTTTGAAAGTATAGTATCAGTAATCATAAATAAAATATTTACTGAAACAGCTTGGTAAAATACATTACTGGTAATGAAATACACATTCTGACTGTACTTCAAACCAGAGCATGTTCAATTTGGTTATCAATGATTTGTTCTGGTCTTTACATAATCAATGATTTGGTGTGGTCTTTGGTCTTTATAATTTGGAAAACATGCAGAAGTTTTGTCATTACTCAACTTATTATTTTTTTAAGATAGATTAAAACTTGGATCAAACTCATATACAATGTCAAAATCTGTACAAACAGTGACATTTGTAGCAAACAAGACTGTTCTTCAACAGCAGAATTGTTTTATAATACACAAACATAATTTCCTTTTCAACAAATGCTTCACCAAATAGAAGCCTATACCGTTTTGCATTAGAGTTAAACTTTAACTATAATCTCAGTTTCACAATCAGTAAGAAGTCAACAACTTCACATTAGATTAATAGAATATAAGAGCTACTGCATCTAACAAATATTTTAAATTCATAATTTTCCAGCAAAAATTTTTTGTAATCTATCTGCATTAAATTTTTATGCCTGGACTACATTGCAAAATATGTACTACCTAAGCAAAATTTCACGACAACAGTGCTTCAAAACAAAACTTGGATAACACTGATTTAATGGTAGGCACAGTTTAAGTCAAAATAAATTATAGCAGCTCAATTCAAAATACTTTTTAGTTTTACAAAAAGATTATTAGTGGTGAATTTCTAAAGAATATATTTTTACCAGTTGAGTCGCCTCTACGTTTTCTAAATGTAAATATAACCAAAAATGAGCTGCAGTGATTTATTTTTACATACATTATACCTGCCAAAGCATTGATTCAAATCTGGAGATATGTGTAGTAACGTGTTTTCCCGAACAGGAATATGCAGCCAAAATGTCGAGTATTTTCTTTATCGCTGGTAAATTATAAGCAATGAAAACAAATATCTTGGTGCTGTTGGTGAAAACTGCGAGAATATACGTTCACATACGTAAAAACGTCTAGCAGCGGGTAACGATTAGTTTCAAAGCACGAACTAGTCAACATCGAATGTAGCTCAAATCCACGAAATTGAGTTTGGTTTGCAGTAATTATTCACAAAAACGCCAAAAGCTATATTGTGGTTTCTGATATATTTAAAATTTCCATTAAACAAGGTGGAATTTTATTATTCTTTTGCTCATTAACCAATTTCACACAGTTTTATTATAAGTTTAACTTGCAAGTAGTCACGAAAATGGCGGCTCCGTGCTCACCCCAGACCCGTTGTCCTGGCTCTTACAAATAGAGGGCTCTGGCACCGAACGCATTAAAGACAAAAGAACCATTGTCAAATGAAGATTGACTGAAGTCCGTTTTATATCTCAGCCTCTAATAATCAATTGTAAATGCAAGTGTCAATGCCTAAATGATATATACATTAAACTTGTGTCAATGCAAGTTCAAAAGAATTCTATAACTGCATTAAATGCGATTTTTGAAAAGTATTACTTTTCTTAGGAACTGCTGGAGATTCATTGTCATCTTATCATAATGGCATGGCGTTTTCAACCATGGATTCAGATAATGATAAGGATCGTGGAAGAAATTGTGCCGCATACTACACAGGTGCTTGGTGGTATAACTATTGTTATTATTCTAACCTGAATGGACACTACTATAGTGGCAACCAGTACAATTACAAAGGTGTGACTTGGCTTGATTGGAAAGGTCGTAAATCCTTAAAGTTCACTGAGATGAAAATAAAACCATAAAGAATTTCCAAAAACTGTGATATTATAAATTTGATCATTATTTCTAATGAAACTTTCAACATATAATTAAAACATTTTAGCTTTTATGTCTTTTAAAACAACCTTGTTGAAATTGTTAAAAATGCGTTGGTGAAACAATACTTTTCTAATATTTTCCCTAAAAATTAGAGCTGATTTAGGTAATTATATGATTCTAATGTTACGTCATTTCACTCATTTCTTTAATGAGATGTTGCTCTGTAAAGCCCGGTTTCCATATGATCGTTCCTGTCGTAAGGATCGCCTTTGTCGCTTGCAATTTGTAGAAGCGACAGAGACGATCATATGGAAACGCTCAACTCAAACGACAAAAGCGATCCTTACGTTAGAAACGATCCTTGCGTATCGATCGTTTGAGATAGACTAGAGTTCTATCCTTGCGACAGAAACGACTAGAAACATCTTTTACGCGCTTGCATTTTTTTAATGGAAACCGGTGCAAAACAATCGTTACGAAGTAGCTAATTCTATCTTTTCGCCCCGTTTCACGCAATCTTGATGTATCATGCATTTCATGCAATTATCTTACATCATTATTCACTATGTAAACAATGTCACTTTTGATTGGTCAACTACCTGCAAATAATTCAAGATATCTGTAGGTATGACGTCTATTTACAAATAACAGTTTGTCATGAAAAGCCGGTTTTGAAAAAAATTCAAATCATTACCCGTGTCGCATGTTCTTAATCGTCTGAAGCAAGACTTCTCAAATAGAGAACGTCGCATGTGTGTGATGTAGGAGATCCTCTAAGCGTTCTTATTGACGCCATATTTAATTTATATATGCATCAATCTATATATCATCAACACACGACATGCACACGACACACTGTACCATATTAAAATGGCGGCAACTGGAAACAGTATGAAGTATTAACTGACTTGTAAAAAGCTATTATGAAGTCTTATTACGATCAGGGAATGAATACAACGGCATAGGTGAAACATGAAACAATACAAAAGGCAACTGATGAGGCAGAAACTACATTTGAAAAGTTAAAGTGTGTGAGTAGTTCTACCATCTTTATACATGGAAGGGCAGGCTACTACAGTACTCTCAGAATTGTGCGCACTAAAATCTGTGACCATAACCTAGTTTGAAGTATTAGCATAATTTCTAGTTTGAAGTATTAGCATACATATATTTTTGTTAAAGATACTAAAATTTGTCATACGTAAGTTTGTTTGGAAAGGCAAAACGACGCAACTATATACACGATAATGATGTTGTATTGCCTATGTTAAGAAGCTGCGCATTATTTCTTCGACTAGATGCGCTTTTAGATAATCACAAAAATGCCTTAATGGTAATATTTTGGCCTTGTGTGATGTGCTTTTCCATAGGAAAGACAAAAATTAAGAATAATTTGGGATAAATGATTTGTGTCGGAATGTTTTTGTAGCAGTTTTTGGTTTGAAGAATGCCGTGGTGAAAAAACAAATTTCTATTTTTTTTCCAAATGAAGGCAGATTTATTGATATAGTTCTACTGTGACGTCTTTTCTTTCATTTCTTTGACGTTTGTGGTGAAAGTAAATTGCAAAAAATTTTGATGTTTTTTGCCTCGTTCTCACGCCATCTTGGATTTATCATGCATGTCATGCGACTATCTGATACATTATCTGGTTTGTCATGAAGCAATCTTGTTCCCGCCAAAGAGAATGGTTGAACATAACCTATAGAAAACACAGTGTGCCTAACTGTTGTTTAGATAGAGTTAAACCGTTATATTATTCATTTGAAAATTTGTGTAGAAATTCACACACAAGTGAACGCAGTCATACACACCTTACATTTAAGCACATTACTGTTAGTAATTGGTAAATTCAAAAAGAAACCCCGTTATTCAAGAAGACTTTGAATGAAGACGCAAACAAGCAATTGTGTTGGTGGAGATAATTTACATACTTGCTACATCTGAATGACATTCTTTCTAATCACCAAAAAATGTACTTCACCCTAAACATCACAATGGATTTTACCATTATCACGACGCAACTTGTCTCCAGGTTTCTCCTCGGAAAAATGCCTGAAATGATTTAAGCATTCCATTCGAAAAAGGGCGTATTCCTGAAAGAAAAAGAGAAGTAATCAAGTAGATGAAGACATATTAACTACAGCTCAACTTTAGCCTTAAGGAAGTCCATAACATCATCCCATTATACTGAAAAGGCAATCTTATTAAAATAATATTTACTAAGGAGTAATTGAGACAAAATTTACTGCAAAAATGTAAACAAGTTTGTGTACATGTTAGAGGCCCCATTCAACGTACGATAATGCACCAGTTAAACTGCATGCAAATAACTCTGTTTGTCTGTTTAGGTTTTAATAAAATTTCCTATGAACATATTTTAATAAACAAAAAAAGGAATATTTTGTGTCTATTCTTTATAAAACAACAAAAAGATATAACGCAATACGCTGCTTGGACTACAGGTCAGTTTTCAAAAGCCTTTGCAAATGTGGAAAGTTGATCTCAGCTTAATCAATTAAATCAATTAAAGAGAATTTAGAAATTAATCATCAATACATGTAAAAAGAAAAATTCAAATAATTTTTTTGGAATTCATTCGTTTCCATTATTGTTATTTCATAGAGGAAACAAAATATATATTTCGCAAAACATGTTTTATTTCAAATAATACTGGGCAATGGTGATAAAATGCTAGTAACTCACAGTTCTTTTTAAGAACTGTTTAAACTACCATCTTGCGTAACATTTCCTATTTAAGTAGAGGTTCGCATTTCTCTAGATATTTTCTGACGTTTTTAAATACGTTGTTTGTGAGACTAATACGTTGTATGTGAGATTGATACGTTGTATGTGAGACTAATACGTTGTATGTGAGATTGATACGTTGTATGTGAGATTAATACGTTGTATGTGAGACTAATACGTTGTATGTGAGATTAATACGTTGTATGTGAGATTATTACGTTCTATATGAGATTAATACGTTGTATGTGAGATTGATACGTTGTATGTGAGATTGATACGTTGTATGTGAGATTAATACGTTGTATGTGAGATTAATACGTTGTATGTGAGACCAATACGTTGTATGTGAGAATAATGTATGTAGATTAATACGTTGTATATGAGACCAATACGTTGTATGTGAGATTGATACGTTGTATGTGAGATTAATACGTTGTATATGAGACCAATACGTTGTATGTGAGATTGATACGTAGATGAATACGTTGTATGTGAGATTAATACGTTGTATGTGAGATTAATACGTTGTATGTGAGATTAATACGTTGTATGTGAGATTAATACGTTGTATGTGAGATTAATACGTTGTATGTGAGATTAATACGTTGTATGTGAGATTAATACGTTGTATGTGATTAATACGTTGTATGTGAGATTAATACGTTGTATGTGAATAATACGTTGTATGATTAATACGTTGTATGAGATTGATACGTTGTATGTGAGATTAATACGTTGTATGAGATTGATACGTTGTATGTGAGATTAATACGTTGTATGTGAGATTAATACGTTGTATGTGAGATTAATTGTATGTGAGATTAATACGTTGTATGTGAGATTAATACGTTGTATGTGAGATTACGTTGTATGAGAGATCACGTTGTATGTGAGATTAATACGTTGTATATGAGACTAATACGTTGTATGTGAGATTGATACGTTGTATGTGAGATCAATACGTTGTATGTGAGATTAATACGTTGTATGTGAGACTAATACGTTGTATGTGAGATTAATACGTTGTATGTGAGATTAATACGTTGTATGTGAGATTACGTTGTATGTGAGATTAATACGTTGTATGTGAGATTAATACGTTGTATGTGAGATTAATACGTTGTATGTGAGATTAATACGTTGTATATGAGACTAATACGTTGTATGTGAGATTGATACGTTGTATGTGAGATTAATACGTTGTATGTGAGATTAATACGTTGTATGTGAGACTAATACGTTGTATGTGAGATTAATACTTTGAATACGAGATCCTTCGGTTAATAATACAGCTGGAAATTTTTTAATTATTGAAATCCATGCAAAGTGTTACGTTGCTTCAACGTTTGTCCACAATAAGAGGTGCTCATTATGTACAAATTAGTAAGACAATGAGATGCGTAACGTATGAGAGATTACTGAATGGTAACATCTGTTCTGAATAAATCCACATGGAAAGAACTAAGTCCAAAAGACCATCTATTTAAACACAATAATTCTGAAAAAATAACACTAACTATATGTAAAAAGATGATAAAGTGGTGGTGCACATTTCAAACATTGTTCGATGTAGAATGTTCCTTATAAGATATGGTATTTTAAAAATATCAAATGGTGTTTAGGATACAATACCACGGTACGACAATACAACAAAGAAAAAGTCAAATTCAGTAACGTGATGTAAATCTAACGGTAAACAACACTATTTAACTGTTCATCTACTTACGAGATAACCAAAATTGATCGAGGATTTATAACTCTGAAGAATTGAAAACATCGCCCAAAAGAAATGAGAAAGAAGAGACAATCTATAGAAAAAAAGGAAAACAAAGCTGATGTTATTTCATAAATATTTTTAAAACATACGTAAAATTAACATTTATTCGCAGAAAAACAAAACCGACGCCAATATGTAAGCACGTGCGTGCAATAGGTAAAAAGTTACTTGAATAGGCTGTGTAATAAAAGCCTATAAAGGTATACATAAAACCGACCTAAATTAAATGGCGTCATTAAACCCTAAACTGACGTATTCCAAAAACTGAACCTTAAATAAACGAGAACTACGACAGTGAAAATAAATCTGTCAAGACATACGTACTCATAGAAATCTAAGAATTTATCTTGCGCTGTATTAATACAAGAGGACGATTGTTATAATATTTACCTGTCAGCTTGGTCGATAACTTTTTCAATCTCGTCTAACATGACATCAGTCGTTTCATTATAAGCTTGTAAATACGCACGGACAAAAAATACCTGAAATTTCGAAGAGTTTAGAATAAGAATTTTTTACAAAATTTTTATTTCATGAGCCCGCGCCTTTCCGCTGACTTTGACAACCAAAATCCGCCATGTTTTTGACCACGGGCCGCGCGCTAATAATTTATAGTAATTTTGTTAACGTGTTCCCTCCAAGTCTCATAGAACTCAATGGAAATACCTCTACGGCAAAACACCGAGGGAAAACCTCTACGGCAAAACACAGGGGGGTAACCTCTACGGCATAGCACCGAGGGAAATACCTCTACGGCAAAACACCGACGACAAAAAACCTCTACGGCAAAACACCGGGGGAAAACCTCTCCGGCAAAACACCGAGGGAAACACCTCTACGGCAAAACACCGACGATAAAAAACCTCTACGGCAAAACACAGACGACAAAAAACCTCTACGGCAAACACCGGGGAAAACCTGTACGGCAAAACACCGAGGGAAAACCTCTACGGCAAAACACCGAGGGAAAACCTCTACGGCAAAACACCGAGGGAAAACCTCTACGGCAAAACACCGGGGAAACCTCTACGGCATAGCACCGAGGGAAATACCTCTACGGCAAAACACCGACGACAAAAAACCTCTACGGCAAAACACCGGGGGAAAACCTCTACGGCAAAACACCGAGGGAAATACCTCTACGGCAAAACACCGAGAGGAGAAAGCAAAATAAGCAAAGCAATCAAAAGCAAAAAAAAAACACGAGAAAAACAGAAATAAAGTACTGATAATAAATAGTTATACCGCAAGGAAAAGCACAATCATCACATCATTAACACATGGTAGCTATAAATGCTGTAACTCAATTCAAGCAATAATAGATAGCCACATTGTAAACAGCAGATCATCCTTTTCATATGAACTATACTTCGGGGGTTATTTTTAACCATAAAATTGTTTTTATCTTTTCTGAAATTATTACATATATTAGTGAATTACCTTTTGATCATAAGAAGGATATTTGGTGACGTCTCCGGTAAAAAAGGGATAATGTGGATGATTGTAATCAAATATCCATTCACTGAAATGATTACCAATATCGTATCCTCTGAATAAAAAAATAACAAATATTATAAAAAAGTTTGACAAGGTAAACAATGTTTAAAATAAGAAAAATTGAACAGTTTTGATGAAATAAATAATTTAAAATGTTCAAGAAGAAAGATAAGCAACCGGTTGAAAAGCATTATGGGTACAATATGGTTATTTTGTTGCCAGCTCTTCCCCTCCCCCCCCTTGCTCAATTGTTGACTGCTTTAAAGCCCGCCGCACACTGGTGAATTTGCCGCGCGTACTCGTTATTCGTGACAAGTGTGATCGACAAAATTTCCTAGTGTGCGCGGAAGTTTTGAACAACATTTGTCATTCGTGACAGATGAGTCAAATATCAAACGCGCGTTTTTTTAATTTTGTCGATCACACTTGTCACGAAGTACGCGCGGCAAGTTTACCAGTGTGCGGCGGGCTTAAGTGAACAAACAAAACCCTTGCTATCATAATATTTGACAACTCTACGCAGCGCAAAGATGAAATAATATTCTAGATATAGAACAGAATGTCTCCTTTCTTCCTTCCTCATTTGCGGTTTAAACGAAAATTATCCTTCTCTCTTTTTTTTCACCTGTAGTTATAACAAGAATATTCGAAATCAATCACACGAATTTTTGCCTCATCGAGATCTTCATTTGCTTTCACCAACAAGTTTCCTGAAGGTATTTAAATTATATTTAACCTTTATTAAAAACCCATAATATTCACAATAACATAGTTGTAAATCTTTACCTGGTTGTACGTCATTATGGCAGAAGAAAACTGGTGATTGGCTGTTTTCAACCACGTGCCTAACACATCAACAACAAAATAACAATAATGTAAGCAACACTTAAATTCATTGATCCTAAAACATCTTTTTGGAACATAAGTATTTCCAGTTTTATTAACTTTGTATATGGTTTGTGCACAGCATTTCAGCAATTAATGTCTCATATGATATCATTAAATAAATTAATGATTTGTGATTATGTGAATTTAAAGTACTCAAAAATCTATTGTTTTTATTCATTTAGTACTGTGGTTGATTGACTGTGTGTCCAAATAAGTAAGTACGTCATACAATTGCATCCATATAATGTTCTTCTTTGTAAAAATTCTTAAGTAACGGCTACGTAGTCCAAAGGCAACATAATAAAAAAAAACCGCAGAAAAATAAGAAACATTATTATTCTATCATGACGTCGATATTTGATCTTCATCAGGCATGAAGCATACATTTTTTAACATCACTGTCAGACTACTGACTAGCAGTAGTAGTAGCTTAAACAGACAAGGACAACCTAATGCATATGTATAAAAATAAGCATTCATTTATCATGTAAGTAATAAAAAAAATTTACTGTGTTTCTAAACGCGGGAAAGTTTGGAAGAAAAAATAAATTGCGTGGCAAGCACGAGCACGAATTGAGTACTTTCAATGAATTTCGAGTTGCTCCAAAACTTTCACAAGTATGTATTTCATTCATAACTTAAAACCAACATTAAAAAGAGAAATTTAACGACATATTGTTTAAATTTTCCGTGTCCACGCAAACCACGCAATCTGCGATACTTTTGCGAGACTGAAAAAGAGTTTCTGAAACAAGGGGTTTGCGAGCATTCAACCAATCAGCGCCATTTATAAATTTATTTTCAAAATACCAGAAAATCAAAAACTAAGACAACTTTAAAAAGGGAAAACCGTCAGTATCATCTACTTTTCCAGCTAATCCTACATCGTACGTACGCTCAGTCAGTCACAATGTATGATCTCAATTATAATCACAAAATCATGTAAATACCTCACCTGTAGACACACTAGTTTCCCAACAAGCTCCTCCCCCCCCGCATGTGACCTGTCTCCCTAGTCCCCAAGAATGTTCTGTTTTTGAGTAGCAGACTATTTTCCATACCTGATAAATTTGAGAATTTCATCAATGTCAAATTTATGAAAAATTTCATCCAAGATCTTTAATTTATCAACATTGGAAAATTTAAGACCTTTAATTTCCTTCACAAATCTATCAAAAAAAATATAGTTTATGTACAATCAACGCATTATATACTGTACACTGTGATAAAATAATAATATAAGGAGATGGTGAGGTCATTTTGAACAATATGAAGTCTTGAATATATTTTAAAAAAGTTGTAACAGAAAGTGGGTTTACTTCAAAACTATTTCAGATTGGTGCAAAAGATTCAAAAAGTCAAACTCACATTTGAAGTGAATCCAAAAACCAAGTTCCTTCCTTTGAGAGAGGAAGTTTTAGCTTATGAAACGCAGCAACATGCTCAGCTATTTGTTGTGATAAACGAGGATACTGGACTTCCCGACTAGTCAATGCTCGAACCTTTAACAAATTACAACACAAGTAAATTAAACTTTGGTAAACAATGCAAAAATTAATGTTGCGAAAATTTTAACTATTTAACAGTTAAATTCAAAAATTATAAATTCTTTCCAACACAAATGAGAATGAATTTACAATTTTTCTATACAGACTGTATAATGAGTATGAAATAATCAATATTGATAATACTACTATCAGTGGAATACAAACTCAGCTGTGCTAGAACAGATTTAAGTTGATATTAAAGCTGGAAAGCTAGGGCACGTTCTTTCCATACAAGCAGGTGATATACTCACTATAAAAAGATAAACTTTCCTTACATTAATCGCTGATTTTCTTTGCTACTTACATTAGGAATAAACTGTTCAAGTCTTCCTTCGGGAAATATACCATACAACTCTGGGGCCATCTTTTTTTCAGCTAAAAGGCCGCAAATGATGCATTCCTCCATCATGCGAACATTGTTGTCAGACAAATCTGCATAGAATGCACCATATATCCGAAGCAGTGCTTTGTTCACACCATCAGGATTTGAATTTGCATATTCATGTGGCAGAGAGCACAGAAACAAATGATTTGTTAATCCACCACTATAATTGTAAAAAGCGTATTGGTTAAAATAATCACTCAAACTATGATTTCATCTCCTCTGAGAAGTAAGTTTATCAACAAAAGAACAAAGATAGATAAGCATAGAGGTAAGATCAGAGCATTGGTTAGATAAATATACAAAATAAGCCCATTCTTAGATTAATCATATCTTACAAGATTTTTTCTTCCCGAAATTAATTTCTAAATCAAAGGCACTATTATGAAGGTACTTTGCATATAAAGCAAGGATGCTTATTTTATTTCACATATGTATTCTGCCTCCACCCTTGAACAAAACTAAAACAACTTTGAACAAGAAAATATCAGACATAAAAAATATGAGACATGGAAGTTTGATATTACAAAAAAATTAGCTGCACTTGACAAATTTTACCACTTTCGTGGACAGACACCAGAGAATTCTGCAATTGCAGAATTCAGTGTTTATTTGGCTGGCATAATTGCTGGAGAAATTTCTACATATTAAGATGAACCTGGACTTTAGGTGTGGCCTTTTACACACCGAAGATATCTTTTTGAAATCCATCACACTTTGCAATCTGCAGCCTTGCTAAACTGCAGAAAATCTTTCATATTGCATCGAAACACATAAATCTTGAGAAGAAATTTAGTGTGGCATCTAACACAAACAGCCCAGTACTCTTTAAAATGTTGGCAATAGAGATATAGAGAACATTTTCACCTTTAATATCATTGAGAACATTTTTACCATCAAATAAATGTCGCCGCATCTATACAATATAGTTCTTACAGTTACGAATTTGAAAATTGTACTTACTGAATTCGTTCAATTTCAAAATGTTGTGGACTGATTTTCTTCCATTCCCCACCGAGATATTTTCGACATAAATTATAGCCGAAATCTTTGATCTTAGCGTCAACCATTTTTCCAGTAAGAAAATAATTTTTCAAACTACGCAGAGCTTTGTGGCGAAGTATGGTCGAAACCAGCCAAGCAACAGCGCAGTCATTTTAGTGATGGCTAGAGAAATGTGTCGAATTTACTCAAGAAATGACAACAATCACTGATTCTACGGTCGTTGAAGGTCTATCATGAGGTCGTTTGGTGAGATGAGGTGTAAAATTGCAAGAACTTTGCACAAAGTACATGCAACAAATGACATGTTCAACGTAAACAAAGCTTTAGCCATGTGATACTTATTCATTCGTGCACAGAAGGCGGTCGACCATTTCCTAATATGAAGTGAGGTGTAAACTTCATCCCTCAATGTCACAATATCATTTCCAACAAAACTTATCGTGAAAACGCAGAGCCAAAGGACTTCTAGAAAATGATTAACATGGTAATGAAATTTGCTTTTGACTCCGAAAATGACTACCGCTAAGGTTGTCGAAACGTCAGTCAACAACAACAAAAACAGTCCTTCTCAGGACTATACCAACCTGGACGATCTACATTTACAAACTTGTAACGATACTCCCGGGTTCAAACCATTTACTTGAAATGTGCATTGCTTACAGTAACAATATTAAGTAATTAAATTATCATCGTTTATTAGTAATTGTAATATTACAAATGATTAGTGATAGCAAGAAATGTACTGTAACTAGTGGCGTAATTATGAATTTCTTTGACAGTGCTGATAGATAAATTTTTCTACAACAGGGCGTGGCAATTTGGGCGTGGGTAAAAGAAATGTATTTTTTTAAATGGGGTTTAAAAACTGTGTACAAATGAATATACATAAGGATATACCATTTTAAATAAACCAAGTGCAACAAACGTGAAATAACAAATAATTATTAAAAAATTCTCCTGGTTTTGTCGTTCAAGAAAGGCATTTGAAGTTCTCAAATGGAAATTTTCGAAATAATTTCTCGGTTGATGGAAATACACGCGAGATTCGAAAGGCGTTTTTCTGTCATAGTACTGCTTATCTGTTTTTTATCGGAAATGATTAGTGACATTGGAGAATAAGGAAATTTGATGGACACTGAACTTAACACGTGAATATCTTTTACAATTTGCTACCTACTTATAAATTACTGCAAAGAATTTGATAAAAAAAATATTACAAATGGCACACAATCTATAGCTATTAATTTTATTGGTGAGAATGGATTTAAAGTCCAAATATATTTCATTTTTGTTGTACTATTGAATAAATAATCACTTTCATCACTTTGCCGTTTCACTTCAAAAATTCCCACAGGTTTCCAAATTTCCGACAAACACCATCAATAACGTTGAGCGCGGGGGGAGGGGGGGGGGAGGCGCTTAATTTTTTTGAAAACAATCAAAAAAATTTTATCCAATCTGAATGAATGAATGAGAAAACAATTTTAGCCAATCTGCATCGCGTTTTAGCATTCAAAAATATGACGAATGTTTAGATAAGTGTCCTAGCATAGGTTTTGAGAAATATTTGGCACAAAACCTAAAAACATTTGCATTTTCCATATGCATGGAAATACATTTTAATGTAAAAAACTGCAAAATGCAGTAAAATTATTCATGACTAATGAGATGTATTTTTTCGTGGTCTTCCATGTACTTATAAGATATTTATGGTTTTGTGAAAGTGTTTCTGTTAACGGTCGTTAATTTGTACTGAGAGTTGCCTACCTTGTCAAGACCTTTAAGACCATACATACGTGTAACTCACGCGAGATAGTCCACGTAACAAACATTGCATATAAATCAAGAAATATACTTACTACATAAATCGATTGCATAAAAAACATAAACAGATTTCTGGGCCGCCAAAGGTAGGACATGCAATACTGGAAAGTTTCTACCTGTGAATGAAAGTGAACTAATGTCTTCTACAATCTCGGGGAGAAACTGAAAAATTCTCTGTTGGCCTTGTACAATACCTCGTCAATGACATTCTATAGGGTACTCTTCTCACAACACTCCATCCGTATTTACAAATTTTGCAGAGTACACTTTGAATCTTCTTGCATGCAAATCTCTTGTGGTGATTGCTTCCTCTTCACTTTCAAAATCAGATTCCTCGTCCTAAAGCAAAGACACTGGTATATATTTTTCATGTCTTTAGCAAGATCATGAACAATTCCCACTACTATATACCACTTGAGCCAACGAGTTTAAACAGTGTAAGTATGATTCATCGATATTTCTTTAAACAACATCTCCAGAAGACTCGGTTTTGTTACTCGATTGTTTTGGTATTGAAACCTCGTCTTCGCCATGGGTACAGAGCTTTTATCGTCGTCAACATGGTTGGAATCATTCGTATTTTCTTTGGTCCACGAGTCACATTCCAAATTCTCGAGTGTACGCTTGATGCTTCAACTACGTTCAGTTTCATCAAGCTTTCTTCAACCTACAAACGACTTAATTACCAATAACTTAACAACGAGTTACTTAAACATACCCACGTGTTACAAATATCTCAACAAGTTTCCAATAACATACCAACGAATTACCAACGAGTTACCGCTAGCAACTTACTTTTTAGTCTACATAACTACATTGCTTAAAGCTCAACAGCAAGTTTGCGAACTATTCTCAAGGTAGTAAAAAGTTCATCAAAAAGATATGAAGCATTTTAAACACTAAAACGGTATAAGTCAAAATGTAAGAAATCATAGACTGCTGCAGCTGCTTTTCTTCTTCAAGGAGATAAAAAGGAAATTTATATTTTGATACAAACACGCAACATTTGAAAGCTCAGATACTGTTCTTTCATTATGGTAAAAAATCACGAAAACCTATTTAGTTATTTAATATTAGTTATGCACCAGAGCGAGCTGAAGTTGGGTTGCTTTTTGCGACACAGTTTCAGTAAATACTACACCAAGTCCAAATAAAAATCCATCTGCCAATCAATCAACACGAATAAAGACTGTAGAGATTCATGTCATTGTAAAGACTAAGCAACAAACTCTACGACAAAATACATAATGTTCACTACAGATATTATCATTATCGTCATGAAATCATCACTTTATTCAAAGAATAAGAAAATCCTTTCCAATCTTTCCAAACAACACCTTTGTACCAAGATGCAGAAGGTTGATAATTGCCATGATAATAATACCCATTTAGGTTGGAATCATAACAATAATAATACCACCAAGCACCTTTAGCATTTACAGCGCAGTTTCCTCCGCCATCTGTTTCTTTATCTGAATCTTTTGTCGGGATTTGGACTTTTATGCGGCATGCGTAAATAATTATTAATGTACTTTGTCGGGATTTGGACTTTTGTGCGGCATGCGTAAATAATTATTACTGTACTTTTGTCGGGATTTGGAATTTTATGCGTCATGCGTAAATAATTATTACTGTACTTTGTCGGGATTTGGACTTTTATGCGGCATGCGTAAATAATTATTACTGTACTTTGTCGGGATTTGGACTTTTATGCGGCATGCGTAAATAATTATTACTGTACTTTGTCGGGATTTGGACTTTTTTGCGGCATGCGTAATTTATTATTACTGTACTTTGTCGGGCTAGCCCACCTCATGCGAATCAAATAAGGAACTGGCCCGGCAAAGTCGGCCAGCCCGGCTCATATGAACAGGCCCTAAACTAAATTTATAAAAATTCTTCATGGTTTGATTTTCATTTCACTGGTTTTCACGTTATTAAAACCAAGCCAAGCAAGATTTTTACCATTAAGGTTGCTATAATAACAATTTTTATAACACCAAGCACCTTGCCAGTAAGCAGCGCAGTTTCCTTCATCATCGGAATCTTTTGTTGAAAACGCCGTGTCTTTATGATAGCTCAATGCATCCCTAACATTTCCTGAAAAGTAGTAATGGCTCTTGAGCTCTGTCGTGATCTGTATTTTAAGGTACACATGAACACATTTTGGTGTTAATTATTCTGATAGATCTTAAAAAGGTTATTTAGAAAATTCTAAATTTCATTTTGGGTATTTAAATTTCGGTGTTTTGATAGCCTGATTTAAACACAGGACTCGACCAAAAAGAGAACTCATTGAATTTATGTTATGTATAAAATTTTTTAGTCCAGGCTTACAATTTTACATGATTTACAAGAACAAATCTTTTCATCTCACGGAAAATTACAAATATACCGTTTTTTTTGCGCTGTCATGCTTGCGTCATTCCCTTCCTTGGTTATATAAAGACAAAACAAAAGAAATTCGACGTAAAAGTGCCAAAATACGAGCTGTACTTGTAGATAATATGCAGACAACCGTTCATCTTTCACAGGAAATTAAATTTTTCTATTAAAAATAATCTTGACAATGTATGGTAAATTTCTTAGCTGTAAAGGTGGTATCTTTGTTGTGATTGACATTCTTTACGATTACTAGCAACGGAAACTTAAATATTTCTTACCCCCTTTTGCAGGTGCCAATGTCTTTATGCAAAAGCAAACTTTGATTTAAATAATTTAAAAGCCTAAAAGAGTGTTTCAACAAGACAAAAATACTTTTTAATAATGTATCACTGTTTGTTAAGCTCTATTATGAGTTTAAAAGTAAAGAAATACACAAAAATGCATTTTCCAGTGTATGATCCAGTGTAATGATATGATCCAGTGTAATGACGCCAAGGCGCGAAACTTTATAAGATTATTCAACTACATAATGAAAATCATGTTAAAACCACGAGAAGTTAAACTTGAATCCTAACTTCATTAGTATTTTCCCTGATAGCATAATTTTTAATTTTGTAAATATGCATTAAAGATGACCTTTAAGCGAAAATCTAAAAGGTAAGAATTCTAAAAGTTGTCACTTGATTCCAATTTGTACTATCACTACTATGGTATGGCATATGGGTGAAACAAGTTTACTGTTGGTTGACAATATTGGTGATTAATAAAGCAGGGACGATTTTAATATTAGAATTTATAATTTTTATTGCCTATTATGTTATATATTTTTAGATGTTGATCGTCCAGCTTTGTGTAGTCCTGAAAAGAATTCTTGCTGTTGGTGTGTTACTTGACTCTGATGATCAAAGGATGTCAAAATGTCAATCATTAACAACACCAACAGTCATTTTCAGGACTGCTCGAACCTTGAAGATCTACATCTACAAGCATTTAGCTTTACTCATGTTTTATTTTTCACCATCATCTCTTGTAGGAAAGGGAGAAAAAATGTTAATTATACTGATATGAGCTCCAATTGTGAAAGTGAAGGTAATGTATTGTACATACAGTGATCTCATAGCTACGTAGCTAATAATGAAAATTATAATTGCTCTGTTTTACAGTAAAGTATGTGGTTATACACTGTGGTTTACATAGGTAGGAGAAGGGTACATTTTATATTGTATCAGTTTACATGTACCTACATAGACACTGTTCAAAAAAATACTAATGCAACAAATGTGAATTTATCCCCACAATTATTTACTGGCTGCATGATTGATCTAGTGCACTATTAAACATTTTACATTGTTTTATTGTGAAAAAGTTGAGATTATTAATTTGGTAGATATGCAATAAATATACACGGGGATCCATTCTTTACTTCCTTTTCAATGTCATGCCTGCATGTTCTATAGATTTCTCTTGTTTTAAATTGCTAAGTTTTTGTATTTATGACTTCATGATATGTTTCAGATGATTTTGAAGTTGATTTTGAACCACAAACAAAGAAGGTGAAGCATAAAGAGAAGGAAATGAATAAAGAGAAGAAAGGCGAGAGAAGGTGTGATCCATAAATAGATTTTTAATTTTGGCTAAAGGGCATCATGCTGTTTTACACAGATATTGTAGTAGATCTCTAATCCTTTATAAGCCTTTGTTTTGCCTTGTGTAATCCAATGTACACACTAATTTCTTCAATGTGTGATACAACAACGTCATGAGATTTTTTTTCTATTGTAAGGCCTTCCGTTCGTGAAAAGTTGTACCAAAGAGATATAGAAAAAGCAATTGAAATGTCACTAATAAATACACCTTATGGCAGAAAGGATAATGATGTTGGACAAAATGAAAGCAGTCATATCAAAATAAATAGTGAGGGTATCGGTATGTAAAATTATAAATGAAACTGTGAAAAGTGATTACATCATGAAAGAGAAAAAAAGGTTGGGAAGCTGCCCTAATCTACGCAGTAATGAAGTAAATCCAATTCAAACAATGATTTTAGAATTTTTAAAGTTTTTCATTGTTAAGCATTATATAATGCTGTCTTACATTGACCTCAAATTCACATTTTTAGTAAGACTCTTTTTCCCCATCACAAAGCCCATAATTTTAAACTCATAATGTTTACAGAGTAATCAGTCAAAAGCACAAGTTTTGAAAATGACAACTTTGTTATACTGTCCTAAATGAGGACAGAGAAGGATTTTCTCAGAGTTTTATAAACTAGTCACCACTCTTAGTGGTCTGAATTTGACTGTTGAATTTAGGCACATAGTAGCATATATCCATCAATCACAGTTATTACTTGGGGAACCTTAAAATTAGGAATGTTTAAAGGTGCGGACATATGAAGGTGTGTATGGATGAAGGTGTGTATGTATAAGGGTGGGTATTTATAAAGTTAAGGATGTATCAAGTTGTGGATGCATGAAGGTTTGAATGTATGATGGTGGGGATTTATGAAGGTATGGTGGGGATACATAAAGGTGGAGTGGGGATTTATGAAGGTGGTGATGTATGGATGAAGATAGTGATTTACATATGAAGATAGTGATGTACCTATGAAGATAGTTATGTGTTGCATGTAGTACTACTTTTAATGGTGTGATGAGCTTTCTAATTGACTTTTTGCATGGTATTGTAGTGTGTGATTCAAAATGAAAATACATGACCATTATTATGTAAGATGCAGTACCATGTACATATAATGCTGATTGCTCTCTTACTCATTTAATCTAATGATGATGCACTCGACACCTGCGATGCCCATAACACCTGCGATAAGAGTAGTGCTAAAGTGAACAAGATTCATGACAATGATGTCGAAAGTGATTCCAATGAAGAGAAAATTGTGAACCTGAAGAACGGCAAGAAAATGTCTGGTGGGAGTCATATGTTTTCCGGTGGGCTTTATTTTTGTATTTATAAAAATTGTCATTTGCATATAATGAAATAACCAAAATGCAGTTGGCATGATTATACAATCAAAGTATCAAAACAGTTTGATACATACGTAATTGCATTTGCTCGCAGCTTGTCTTTTGTGTTATTCTTATTAGTTTTTTTTCTGGCGAGTGCTTATCATAACAAATTTTTGATACACATTTGTATTAAAAAGAGTCATCCGACTACAAATGCACCCCTGTTGTTGGTACAAAGGAGAAAAAGTCATCGCCTATAAATTCTTCCAAAGAGAACTTTGGACATTTGAAAAATGAAGGGAAAATTTCCACATTTTCTTGCGTTGGTACAAAGGAGAAAAAGGCATCACCTATAAATTCTTCCAAAGAGAGCGTTAAGCATATGAAAAATGAGGGGAAAATCTCAACATTTTCTTCACCTAAACTGTTTACAAACAAAACCAGCAATTCTTTTTTTCTTTGCGGTGTTAAAATTGAGAATCCGAGTCCGACATTACGTGTGGGGCTATCAAGAAACCATAAAGTAAAACCACTTCGCAATAACGTTACGCTTTCTCAATAACAACTTACTTACACCAAAATAATTTATCTCTGTTTTAAAAAAATATGTGAAATGAGTTGTAGGTGATTTGTAAATATTTCAATGTATAATAAACATTGTAATTATACACTAAAAAAAACTCAAAACATGTCGTTATGGCCAATTGTTGGAGAGTGTAAAGTCAATCTATGAAAACAACCAACTAAAAAGTATTTGGTAAGCCTTCCTCCAGCCATGCTATATACGTATGAAGGGATTTTAGGCTATCACGTGATAGTTTCCCCAAGCAATGTGGATACTCTCCCACTGTTCATTCTTGGGATTTTAGTTTTGGACCATAGTTTCCATAGTTCTTACTCTCTACATAGTCACTGACATTTCTTTAGCTGTAACCCACTTCACTAGCTAGTTCGCTTTTGGAGTAGCATTGATCTTTCGACCTTACCAATACCATTCCACGACATTCCACATTGATTCTTGGCTTTGGACGTATAATTCAGTAATTTGTCTAGATTCTTCTTATCCACTAAATAATTTTTCTTTCACTAAGTGCTGTTGGAATAAAGTTCGACTATATATGTCTTAAAGTGAATGGTTTGAACATGGGAACTCTGAAGATGACTACCGCTAAGGTTGTCGAAACGTCAGTCAACATCAACACGTACAGTCCTTCTTAGGACTTTATTGTCATGGGTGTTCTACATCTACAAACATATATATATATACGTCAAATGTGATATGTGACTGTTTGTGACTGTTGTAGGACATCTACCCGTGGTTATATATGATTAACAACAGAATGTAAATTTGTATTATAGGCTATAACGTCTTCCCAAATAAAATAAGAAAAATGAGCAGTTCTTTTTGACAGTTGAATGGTGAAATTATACGGTCTATTACAAATTTTAAGGGAGAGAAAGTCGTTTGAAACTTAGTTTTTGGCTTGCGCTTTTAGCCAACCATTGTATCATTTGCATATTTAAATTATTGGTTCTCTCTTGCACATTAAGTATATAACTTTCACGCAAATGGCCTCAAGATCGTTAACTGTACCTCATAAAAATGTTTCTACCTTTTTCAAACTTATTTCTGATTCATTTTTGTATACAGTACGTAATACAATTATATGTCTTTCAATACTGGCTCCTTAAACTTATCCATACTAAATTCCATCACCATTGTCTATAAAACAGTGGCGCAGCTAGGAAAAATAGTCACTCCCGCCAATCCATCTCGCGCCGGAGGCGCGACCCCACTAGGGGGGTCCGGGGGCATGCTCCCCCGGAAAATTTTGAAATCCAGAGCCTTGGAAACAGCATTTCCTGCGATTTCGAGGGCGAATTATTTGTTGTACAATAATTTATAAAAACCCATTTTTGTTAGCTGCATTCTTAATGTGGCAATCGTTGAAACTGCAACTAGTTAAAAAGGTACTAAAGGTGGCTCAGAGAAACGTTACGCAGGAGACAATTGTCCCCTAAAACATAATTTACTCATCACTGCCCCTGCATAAACAGAAGAAATTTGTATTAGCACAAAAAATAATATAGTATACGACACTTCTAAAGTGCATAGAGAGAGATTTTTCTTAGCATTCTACTTGTTAGTTTAAACTTGTTTAGATTGGGGCAAGTAGACAGGGATGGCTTTATTCTTTAAAGTTATGCTTAATTTTCTCAATGAAGTACCATGTATTATACGAACAAATATCAAAACACATACTATACTCATCATTTATAAAGAAAGGCCAGCCTCCTGGGTTTTTCTACAAATTTTTCAACCACCTCGTTATGCAACACCTCTGATTCCTCTTTCTTTTCAATGATATCTTTGTGAATAGATATTCTACACAAAGAGCTAAGCCGACCTTGACCCATTCTATTTCTTAAATAGCTTTTTACCCTTTTTAAGCAAGAAAACGACCTCTCTACTGAAGCACTTGCCACTGCCAACACACCATTCAATTTTAACAAATTTACCACTTGACCTAAACTCGACTGGAGATTAAATTTGAAGATGTATTTAAGAACCTCATTACTGCACTCTTTGTGAAAGTCCTTGTCGTTGTAAATGAAGGAAAGTTGACTCTCCAAAGTTTGGATGTCAAAAAGAGGACTATACTTATCTTTGAGAAGATTGATCTTCTCCTGTGGAACTATGCCCTTCCATGTAGTAAATAGTTTAGGATTTACAAGGTCTAAAAACTCGAACTGATTAATATCTTGAAATCGTTCACTTAACATGCCTTTAATGGAATCAATAATCTCAAAATAAAGCTGTTTGTAATTGTATCTACTATCTGCTCTGGTTGCTGGTGGGCCTACTTTTTCTAGTGCAGTTTGGTAAAACTCAGTGAAAGCTTGATCTGTGCGAAGTGACACAATCTGAAATCGCACTTTGAAATCTGGACATAGAAATGTAACATTAAAGACACAAATTGCATTTATAAAAGCACAAATAGCTGTACTTCAAGCATATCACAAAAAACTTGGCACACAAAACAAAAACCTTGAAACATTTAAGATAGAGCTTCAGTCCAAAATCAACAAGACACATGCACAAAGGGGTAAGCTTCTGAAGTTACAAAAACAAATCAAGAAATTTGAAATTAAAATGATTAAGCTATCATTACAAATGAAAATACTTGAAGCACAAATAGCAACTGCCCAAACGGAGCTAAAAATTCTTGAAAAACAACTTAAAGAGCTTTTCAAGAATAATAAAAATCTCATGCAAACTCAAATAAAAGGTAAGAATTATTTCCAGAAGACCAGGGAAAGAATATAACTGTATATTGTCATACGTATATAACTTATAAGCTCTGTAAGAAAAGAAAGGTTCGAATTTGAATTCCCTCTTTATCATTGATCTAAAGGAAAAGACTGCCCAGATATATACAGAAAAGGTGAAAAAAAGAACGGAGTGTATCAAATTGATCCAGACGGCCAGGGTTGTTTCGATGTTTTCTGTGATATGAAGACATCTGATGGAGGTTGGACTGTGTTTCAAAGACGTCAAGATGGAAGTGTAAACTTCTATCGAGGTTGGAAAGACTATAAACAAGGATTTGGTAATCTTAGTTCTGAGTTCTGGCTTGGATTGGATAAAATATACCGACTAACATCTGCAAGGAGAAATAAACTTCGTGTAGACCTGGGAGACTGGTCAGGAAACAAAAGATATGCTGAATATGATTATTTTTCTATAAAGAATGAAAGCAAAAAATATCAATTAAGCCTTGGTAAATATTCTGGTAAGTCAATAGGCAAATAAAAACAATCAAAGCACAAAGTTCAAATATTATATAGAATAAAGATTATAGTAGCATTAAATTGAAACGATTTGGATATATTCGATTCTTCGTCTACAAAGACGAATAACCATTGACTATGCCTCTTGTGCCCGTCTTTACACTGAAGACGCATAACCAGACGAAGAAAACTTCTTGCCCAAGTTCGTCCTGAACGCGCCTGAACGTCATATAGCTAATAAAACACGACTAAATTATTTGGTACATAAGAGAGACTCTCTACTGTGACTACCATTGTCAAATGAAAATTGACTGAAGTCCTTTTTACATGTAAGACCCTGGTAATCAATTGTGAATGCAAGTGTCAATGCCTAAATGATATATACATTATAACTTGTTCTTGTGTTAATGGAAGTTCAAAAGAATTCCATAACTGCATTAAATGCGATTTTTGAAAGGTATTACTTTTCTTAGGAAATGCTGGAGATTCATTATCTTATCATAAGAGCATGGCGTTTTCAACAAAAGATTCAGATAATGATCGAAGTGGAACAGACTGTGCCACATACTACAAAGGTGCTTGGTGGTATAAGAGTTGTTATGACTCTAACCTGAATGGACACTACTATAGTGGCAACCAAAACAATGTCAAAGGTGTGACTTGGAATCATTGGAAAGGTAGTAAATCCTTAAAGTTCACTGAGATGAAAATAAAACCATAAAGAATTTCCAAAGACTGTGATGTTATAAATTTGATTATTATTTCTAATGAAACTTTCAACATATAATTAAAACATTTTAGCTTTTATGTTTTATAAAAGAACCTTTATAGTCATTATCATTTAAAAAAGCGTTGAAAAATTGTTAAAAATGCTGTGGTGAAATAATATTTTCCCAAAAAATTAGAGCTGATTTAGGTAATTATATGATTATAATGCTACGTCTTCACCCATTTCTTTAATGATATGTTGCTCTGTAAGTATCTAAGTCTATCTTTTCGCCAGGTTCCACGCAATCTTGGTGTATCATGCATTTCATGCAATTATCTTACATAATTATTCACTATGTAAGCAATATCACTTTTGATTGTTCAACTACCTGCAAATAATTCTACATATTTGTAGTAAGACGTCTATTTACAAATAACAGTTTGTCATGAAAAACCGATTTTGAAGAAAATTCAAATCATCACCCGTGTCGCATTTTCTAAATCGTCTGAAGCAAGACTTCTCAAATTGAGAACGTCGCATGTATGTGATGTATGAGATCCTCTAAGCGTTCTTGTTGACGCCATATTTGATTTATATATGCACCAATTTATATATCATCAACACACGACATGCAAAGTGTACACACTGTACCATATCTAGATGGCGGCAACTGGAATGCAGTATGAAGTATTAACTGACTTGCAAAAAGCTATCTTGAAGTCTTAATACGATCAGGGAA